AAATGGATCTATTTTGATAAAAAAATACTTCGAATAAGATTGGGAATATATGTATATTTATATATATATATATATATATCGGATGAAATATCAAAATTGTCCAAATCGTATAAAAGCAAAATTGTATTGTCCATTTGTTAGATTAAGTTTTGAACCATTGTATCTTAGAAATGATTAAAGATATCTTACTGGAATTCTCTGAGGTTTTCATAACACTTTTGGACTTTGGGCAATAATAATGTATAATTACTCTCTAAGTTTAACAGAAGAATCGACATGAAATGGATCATAAACGAAAATGACATGTCGATCATTAATTAATCATATCTGAGGATCAGAAGCTCATGCAGGATTGAAATTAAGTTCAAATATATATCATTCCAGGATATATATTTCTTATATATTAACTTATTCACCCTTCTTCGGACATATTGGTTTTCAAAATGTAGTTTTATATATGATTCAGTGATAAGAAACGTTTATCCATCTGACATGTTTCTCTTTTATTAAAGCTTCACCAGAGAATGAGATATAGAGGAATAGAAGAAAAATATTGTGGTATTTTTACTCTTGATTTGTTTGATTTTCATTGTTTAATCATAGGCATTCGACTCTTTAAAGAATTGTTAGTATATTTTGGGGTAATCCGAATTCATGGAAAGACGACGCGTCCATTCAATGTTTAAAGAAATCAAATTATTCCAAGTCTAATTGAAAAAGTGTAAATATTACTTTATGTATATAAGTGTATAATAATTATAATATTCATAAGACTGTGTTTGTATGTGTATATCTAGTAGCCATTATGTTTGTTGGTTTTACGCATATCGATTTGGGGACGATATTTAGCTAAACATTCTTTCAGTATGGATTCAATAAAACTCGCTGATGTAATATAATGTTTTCGACGTGGGTTCATAGTCGATAATATTGCGATTAGGGGATCCTCGACGTAAAAACGTATGATTTTTTTTATTTTTTATTTAGGGTAGTATTAGGAAAGCGTTCGAATGGTTTCCAATTCGGTCACACAAAAAGGTGCCTCCTTATTGATATTGCAGTCCTTGCAGACTGCAATATTTCTTGGAAGATATTCAAAAAGCTATCAAAATACAAGGACCTTGAAATCGAAATCTCAAAAATGTGGCACAAAGGAACATCAACAAACCCCGTTGTAGCTGGAGCCCTATGATTGGTTGGAAAAGATTCCAGTAGACTAATTGAAGGGATTCCTGGAAGCCCATGCCTTAAAGAAATACAAAAAAATGTTCTCACGAGTACAGCCCACACCTTACGAAGGGCTTTGTCTATGTAAATTTTTTTCAGTAGAAACGCCATGATGCCGTTTCTGACCTTAGGTCTCTGGTTGGGACCCGGAAAGAAATGAGTACACATCAGAAATCAAAGGAAATAAAATAAAATAATAATAATAATAATAATAAAAAGAAATAAGAAATTTTATTTGGTAATAAAGGAAGCCAATAAATTCAAAAGAGAATTGAAGTCTGTGAAGACGTGTAAATAAACCATAATGCACCTACCGAAGAGGCAAAGAACCTAAAAAAGAAAACAAAAGCAAATACAATATACAAAACAAAAACAAAAAACCAAAAAACGATGGCAAACAAGCTGATGGAAATAAACAGCGTAACCATCAGGGAATACGTAGAGAAGGATTAAAAGCGGAAACTGAAGGTTTTTGATCTTGCTGCACAGAACCAATGCTTGCTAACTAGAAATTACCAAATCACATACCGAAAATTGTGTAAGCCCGAAATGTAGATTCTGTAAAAGTCATCCAGAAACAACTGATCATCTTGTATCAGGTTGCATGATATTGGCACCCACTGAATATAAAACCCGGCATGACACCCACTGAATATAAAACACGGGATATATATATATATATATATATATATATATATATATATATATATATATATATATATATATATATATATATATACCGTGGGGTGCAGATAATATCACAAGACCAACCGGCATTACATGATCAAATAAGGAAGCATTCGATTTTTTAACGGCTTCTTCGAGGTAAGATTTATTCAACAATTATTCACTTATTCATATGTGCATGTCGTTTTTTGTCTTCTGTTTGGGTGGTGTACGAGTTTTGGAATTTGAAAGCTACTTGTTAATGTAATACGTTCTAATTGATTTTTGGAAATTCCCAAACTGGAATTTTAAGAATTCCGATAAGAAAATATTTCGCATAGATTTAACAGTTACTTTCAATACGGCAGACAGATATGTCTTCCATACATCTGTCACATTCTCTTCATATCTATCTATCTATCTATCTATCTATCTATCTATCTATCTATCTCTTACAGTAGATATCTATCTATCTATCTATCTATCTATCTAGTTTCTCCATATCTATCTCTCACAGTCTGTTCATCTATCTATCTATCTATCTATCTATCTATCTATATATATATATATATATATATATATATATGTATAGTTCAGAATTTCCTGTAGATTACCTATAATTACATAAACCTGAGGAAGGCCGGTGAGGACAACGAGAGGACAACGACCGAAAAGTTGTGATATCATCAAGGACAATATATCGAATATAAATGAGGTAAACGATAACTCCTCATCCCAGAAATTTAGACCAAAATATCCTGTAGTTACTGAAATATTGTCTTTTATTAAAAAAAAAAAAATGCGTTTCAGTTTTTTATTTTATTTTATTTTTTTTTTAGAAGTGAATGTTGGCAACAAACATTTTGCCTGGAGTAATGACAAATTAAATTTTATATTCGTACTAGCACACACATTATTTTTGTATATTTGGGCAGCAACCTTTCTTTTAAACATCTTTCGTTGAATATGACAGATATGGAAAATTTTATTAGTAGGGATGAATTATTTAATTTGGCATAGATGTTGCTAATATTGTTCATACATACACACTCACAAACACATTATATATATATATATATATATATATATATATATATATATAGAGAGAGAGAGAGAGAGAGAGAGACAGACAGACAGACAGAGACAGAAAATTTGGGTCCAACATGCATTTCTTTAAAAATAGACGTTGAAATATTTTTGTATTATTTTAAAAATAAAAGCTAAAATTTCTTTAACTACAGAATAATTTTTTTTGAATTTCTGATATGAAGCGTTATCACTATTTACACTATTTATATTCGCGCTATTGTCCTCATCTTTGTTGTTATTATCACAACAATTCAGACTTCCTTAAATGAATAAAGTTTTGGTTAACCTACAAGGAATTATGAACTATAGTAAAATGCTTGTTCTTTGGCAAAATAAAAGCAAATACAACGTAGTTATTGAAATTTTATCTTTTACTTCGAAAAATAAAAAACATTTATCATCTTAAGGGTTTTTTTTTAAGAAATGCGAAGTGGCTTCAAACTTTTTGCTAGTATATATCTGCATATCTAAATCTATATCTATCTATTTATATAAGGCCCAAGTGACACTCGAGGTAAATGGATACTGAGTAAGAGACACAGTTTATGAGGACCTATGGAGAAGATAATCCTAAACCTGAAAATCTTGATGTTGTAGTTATCCGGGAAGCGTTCTGTTGGGTGTCGATTTCACAAAGTAACGATTCGTGGGAAAAAGCTGCTCGAGTGGAACTTACATCTCCCCAGGGGAATACGAAGGGAATAAGGGTGGTTCGATACAATGGGCGTGGCAGGGTGGGTCCTGAAGAGGGGGGGACTGGTGGAACTAAGGAACGTAGTTCGTCTGAACATTTTCCATGTCATAGCCACAGATTAGCGAGATGCTTGTAATGTTTCGTCTGTGGCAAAGACGATGTAGGGTGGAAAATACTTCCTTGCCCAGAGGGCCGGGTAGACGCATTTAGACATTATCGTGACTGGAATCTTTTCTAAGGAAATTTTCTAGCATTCACTCTCATATAGGAGATTACCGTATCTTCTGGCTTACAAGAAACTGCGGCTTTGAAGATGCACCCTAATATGGGAAAGAACTTTCTAAAAACAAAAAAAATATTGGCGCCACGTATTTTTTACATTAATCACTCATCTGAATTTCTTTGTATGTCAATGACATACTAGTCAAGAACGGAAAGGCTCCCGCTACTGCTGGTAAATAGAACATGTTTAAGTTTGTGGCTCGGCTCCAGGAAGGTTTATATTCTTGAAAATACTTGTAACAGCTAAATACTGAGGTTACATCATATAAAAGCTGAATTACATAGCTAACATTATAGTGTGATGACTCAACATACACACCCTCGTCCTTATCAGTCAAGCCAATTATGTGACCGTCCATGCTTATCTAAGCCTGGGCGTTGCCTTACATTCGTCTTGGAAGACGCACGCGTATTTTCAGAGTATTTTTTAGGAAATATGTGCGTCTAAGCCGGAAAATACAGTAGATACTATCTTGCAGTTCCGCACTCTGTTTTTCCTCTGACGATATTTTCTTGTATGTTAATACTTGGCTTCGTTTCTGGATGACATCTTTTGCAGTTCAGATTATGTTGCTTTAATTTACAAGCAACATCGTTGAATATCTGTATTTAGTTTACGTTGTCTTTTTTTCCACTGACTACAAGCTATTTCGTTTTATTAGCTTTAGTAGATATTCCTTTCTTCTTACCCTCCATTATTACCTGATCAAGGAGCTGTTTTAGTTTCTTTTTTTCTAAATCAGTCATCACCACAATGTACGCAGCATATCTTCTCACATTAAATTAAATCCAGAGCACAGCAATTTCTATTTGATCTCATTTTCAGGAAAACTTCAATTCATGATCCATGGCAATTTAATTCTTCCTTATAAACACTGCTCAATATCCGTAGTGGGTAGAGTTTATGTTATGTTATGTAACAATAGCGATTGTCATATAAAACAAAGACCGAAACAGAAAGAAAGTAAACACAGAGTGAAAAAGCTAAGAGAAAGAAAGAAATTATATCAACAAAGAATGAAAAAGCGAACACAAAGGAAAC